CAGTGCCTTAACCATCATGTTACCTGCTGCCCCCAACATTTATAATCTTGATTAAGAAATGAGGTAAAATCTCCTTTTGGTAAAACAAAAAGCAAAACACTCTATTTGTGGCCCAGTCACAGGGGTACAGGTGGTAGGCTGCTGCTATGTGAGGCTGAAGACACATGGGAGGCCCAGGTTCAGTTCCTGGTTAAACATAAATAGACTGGGTATAGTGACACATACATGTAATTCTAGCTAATGGGAGGCTGGGGCAGGAAGGACTGTGATGTGAGTGAGAACCTGTCAAACATACCTATTTCTTTTTCTTTCTTTAAAGTGTACTGAACCCTATACTAGATTATGGAGGAATGTCTTCAATTTTTTGAGGGAAAATAATTTATAATGTAGAATTTTATAGCCAGCCAAACTGTCAAGTAGACGGCTAAGTGAAGACACAAATCTTGAGTTCCTACATCTTTTCTAAAGAAGCCATTGATGTATGTATGTTACCAATGAGGGGAAAACCTAGAAAAGGAAGAGATAGGGAATAGAGAAACAGAAGAGGTGAAGGAAACCCCAAACAAAAAAGCAGGCCTAGAGAGCATTTGATCCAGACCTCTCAAGAGGACAGAAGACTTGGGAGGGTAGAGGTTAGGGAAAAATGAAAGAACCAAGAAATTATCTGAATATTTTGACCCTGTGGGAATCTGGGAATCAGTCTGGCATGCTTCCATAGATACACAAGAAACTAAAATTTTAGAAAATTGAAGAGGCGATTATTAACTCCAGGAAAATAGTAAATTGTTCAAAGAAAATGTAACACTAATTTACTATGTGACTTGGCAATAAACAATACTTACATGGCCATAATAATATAAACACGGAATATTTATTGAACCCAAATTATTATATAACTGCACTAAAAGATTAAGTGAAGGAAAAATGGAGGTGGGCCAAGGAGAGAGCCTATAGAAAAATCTTCATGTGGAGAAAAAAAAATCCTTTCATATATATCATATCTTCTTTTTTTTTTTAATCAATTATATCCTTCTCTTAAAGTTCAGGAAACTTTAGGTCAACAGCTAGTAAGATATTTTAATTACATACTATAAAAATATTACTACATGCTGATTATATGAAAGGTCTTATTATTTTCAAATTATTATTATTAAGCCATCAGATTGCAGAAAAACAAGAAAGGGGAACTTAGATTAATGAAAAGTGAAAGGAAACACATATTTAGAGAAATTATGTCTTTCTGAATTTACACAGCTTTTCTTTCAAAAACATAAATTACTCTGTGGTAGAGAACAACCTATATCTATGTTAATAATAAGGTACTCAGAAATGAGTTACCATCATGATCATGTTATATGTTTTATTTCACTGTGTTTTATCAGAAGTATCCTTATTACAGGGAAACACTATGAATACATGTATTATCAACAGAAACATAACACTTCACATGTCTCATATTTCTGGCTAACCAAATACTGTGTATTTTTAAAGAACTAAGCTAAAAGTTCCAAATCCCCTTTTCATCCCTTATTAATTTCCTATTGAGTTAGTATGATACTTATTCATTAGTATGATATTTGTTGAAAATATTAATCTGTATTTTACATTATTTTAAAAAATTACAAACTTTATAAAATCTGTACCTTTTTTACTTTCTCCTAAGTTCTGAAATAAATTTTTCCCTTAATTATTTAGTATTTTGTTTTGTGGGTCTTATTTTTAACTCTGAAATTCATTTTAATATATGATAAAATGTAAAAGCTACTTTAATTTTGCTTCAAATGTTTTCATTTGTAAGAACAAATTTCCCACATAATCCCTCTTCTGTCATAGTAAATTCTCATATACAATTCAAAGGCTGTTTGTCTAGCTATTATTTTACTAATCTATTCTTGCACCAGTATGACACACTTAATTACTATCTTCATAATATGCTTCATGTTACACTTTAATTTTTGAAGCAAACTATTTTCTTTGACATTTTTTGTAAACTTTTGAGAAAGAAATCTCATTTAGATTTTGTTTGGATTTGTCTTTTAGTTGGTATTACACTAAAATGTATCATCTTTTCATGCTTTCAAGAAAAGTCCTACTTGGATTTGGATCATAACTGCATTAAAACTATGAAGTAGGACCAACAGTTAGCATAATGGCTATATCGCTGGAGTCCCATGTAGTCGATTGCGGTTCGCGTCCCGGACCCAATGGCTTAAAATTCACACCGGGCGCGTGTGCGTGCGTGCCCAAGATCCCGAGAGGAAAATGGAGGAGAAGGTATTGCGGCGTGGCTATTCCCCCCGGGGATGATTCCTCGCTTTCAGTCTCTCTGTCTGTCTCTGTCTGTCTGGCGAGCACATGTGCCCTATGGCAAAAACCTCTCCAAAAACAAAACAAAACTATAAAGTAATCAAGGCCAGCATTTATCAAGACTAGCAATTTAAAAATATTTACTGCCTACCCACACATTTTTGGGGGGAGATTTTAGCTATAGGGCATGTGCAATTGCTGGTGAGACAGAGAGAGACAAAGAGATAGAAAGCGACAAATGACCCCCTGGGGTGATGGCCATGCCGCAATCCCTTCTCCTCCACTATCCCCTCAGGATTTTGGGCACACATGCACACATGCCCAGCATGAGTTTTAAGCAGCCAGGTCTGGGACTGAAACTGCAGTTGAATCCAGCAATGTAACCATTGCGCCACCTGCTGGTCCCTTACCCAAGAATTCTATGTGCTCTTTTAATTATTCAAAGCTTCTTTTTACAAAAAATTTATTAACCAATTTCTTCCATGAAAGAAACAGACACATGAGAGCAAGACAGGCACCCCAACAGGATCTTCATACCACAATCCACTCCTAGTCACTGCCATCCTGGATCAAGGGCATGTAACTGGGAGGCCATCATGCTCAAGGAGCTTCCAGGACAGAAACCCAGGACCTACTCCATGTGGGCCCTGTTGCATTACTGCTTTACCACTGCCTTGGCCCAAAACTTTTTATGTATCTTAAGAAGTTTGCTCACATATATTATTGATTAGTTTCTACCTACTTAGTATTTATTGTTGTAATTGAGAATAAAAGCTTATAATTTAATTGGTTTATAGCATATAAGATTTTATGGCATCAATCTTGTAATAACCCCTTTTATGGAACTCTTTTTTTTTTTTTTTGGAGATTACCACTGCCTTGGCCCAAAACTTTTTATGTATCTTAAGAAGTTTGCTCACATATATTATTGATTAGTTTCTACCTACTTAGTATTTATTGTTGTAATTGAGAATAAAAGCTTATAATTTAATTGGTTTATAGCATATAAGATTTTATGGCATCAATCTTGTAATAACCCCTTTTATGGAACTCTTTTTTTTTTTTTTTTGGAGAAATTTTTGCTATAGGGTGCGTACACTTGCCCAAGAGACAGAGAGACAGAAAGTGAGAAATCACCTCCCCCAGGGGGATGGCCACACCACAGTCCCTTCTCCTCCATTCTCTTCTCAGGATCTTGGGCATGCATGCACATGCATCGGCATGCATTTTAAGCCACCGGGTCCAGGATTTGAACCATAGTTGACTACCTGGGAGTCCAGCAATGTAACCATTTTGCCATCTGTTGGTCTCCCCTTTTATGGAACTCTTAGTCTATATCAAATAAATATCTTTGAGTACTCTAACAAGAATGTATATATTAATAATGATGTAATTCCTGTTTCTTAACAGTGATCTGTCTTTTAGAATAGCTCTAACTTTTAAATTAATCTTAACATACTGGTGTAAAGTATCTTATTTTATGCCTGATTTTATCAGGAATACTGCTATATTTCTCCTATATAGAAAATGTGGGCAATTTATCTGAAATAAAAAGATTTTTAGAACAAGCTTGTTAATAGTCTGGTGTTCTTTGAATTGGCAACCAATACTGAATTCTACCAATTATACATACTTTTGAGAAAAATGTTTTACAATGTAATCTACTGATATTATACATTATCTATAGAAATTGAATTAACTTGATATACCCAGGAAACCCTCTTTGGCTGTGTTTAATACACTGATAAATTCTATTTACTACAAAAGAATTAAGAATTTCAGGAGAGGGTGAAAGGGTATTCTGCATTTGCAAGTGAAAGAATGAGTGAGAGTGGTAGTTTTATTCACAGCATTATTTCTGCTAAGTTTTCATAAGCTGGTGCCATGTTTCCACCACAGAAAAAAACCGACAAATTTCCCTGTTTCTCTGTGCTTCCTAGAACTATCTGAACATTATCTTCTGGTCTTTAGAAAGGATCTAGCAATAAATACATTCTGGTCAAGAACGTGACTGTGGGGAGGATGGATAATGCATAATGCTTTGATAATTTGATAACTCTCTCAATTTCTTACTTAGGTGTTAAGCCATCCACATTTCCTATTTGTAAATTTTTATCATTTGCTGCTCCAAATATGCTGTCAGTGAGACAGGTCGAATTCTGCCTAGAACAGGAATAAAGTAAACGGGTTGTGACTGAGTGCATGTGCAGTTCTTCTAGGAGGTTTATTGGAAGAATTTTGATATCCCTTCTGACCAATCCAATGGCATTTCTGGCTAACTTTTAGCTTATGGCTCTATTCTAGATAAGTTACATTTACTACAGAAACTACCTTATGTAATTCTATAATTCAAATTATGTTTTTGAGTTACATTACTCCCTAGTAATTTTTTGCTTTTTAAGTTTTCTCTGTATCCATGACAACGTGTGTACACACGTGTGAGAGAGGAAAAGCGAGATGCACCCTTTCTATGTTTGGCCATGCCATAATTCCCTTCTTCCTGTCAGATGTCAGGCACTTGTGTGCATGCCTGGCATGTTTCAGGCTGATCAGACCAGGGATTTGAACCCAGGTCACCATGTGGAATCCGGCATCGCTTAAGCAGCATATTTCCGCTGTGTGATGGGACTGTCCTTCCCTAGTAATTTTTAACAATAATCCTGAAATATAAAATGTACAGACTAATTACTCACTTTATTTACTTCAGCAATTTCTCGCCTTTCTTCACTAGCAAAACGAGGTGGGCCAGCCCGATCATCATTCTTGGAGCCATCTTCTTCCACATATGGAATAAGTTGCTGAAAGTAATGAGCGAACGTTAAAAGTCAAAGATATGATCCAAAATGTCCAATTACATTGCTATAGAGAAGGCAATAAATTAAGGTCAGTATTGATTCTTTTAATAGTATAAAAAGAAATTTTCATTCAGGTGATGACCAGAAACAACAGCTCTAGAAGTTTATCAATTCAATACATTCTACATATTACTCTTTCAGATTTATCTTGCAAAATAGCCTTTATAAAACTGGTTGTCTCATATAATTAAATAATACCCAGTACAATCAATCAGAAAATATTTAATTGCCAGACACTTGATGAGATGCTGCAAAAATAATGCCATAAAACATGATTCTTGCCTGACAGAGTTATAGTTTATTGAGTTAAAACAGGCTTTCTGTCATCGATACTAGAAAGAATGGATTGAAGATATAGATTATATAAATGTCATTAACTTGCCATCTAAAACTTCAGGGTCTATGCAAATTCCTAGATGTTGTAACGTCCTTTAGTTCTGAGAACTGACTTTTCTATATGAGAAAAACACTGTATAGCAATGAAACTTCTAGTACAATCTTAAGTATGTAAAGTTTGGGATGAAATTTATTAGGCCTCCTCATCAATGTGACAGACTTCAGGAATCATATGGGCTCTCTCATTTTATATTACCAGTGCAGAAACAGGCTAGAGATAAATAACTGGTAAACTAGGACTCACCTAGCTAAACTTCTTCAAATTCTTGGGACACATGTGAACCTACCCACATCTACATTCATTCATGCTTCCTTTTCTTTCCTAATGCAGACTGTGCTTCCTCCTAAAGATGATTAGTCTCCATTCCTGTGCTCTGAATCCTCTGCCCTCCTGTCTTCACTACGCATCCCCCTTCTGTCACCTCTCCTTACAGTTTTTCTCCTCTATCACTAAACATGTCCTCTAATCTCTTCCATTTGGAAGGGAAAGGTCCCAAAACCCTTGCTTCTATCTCTTCTCCCCTCTACTGCCTTGCTCTTGTTTTTTTTTTATCTAAGCTTCTTGAAAGACTGGTATACTTGCTGGCTCCAATCCCTTACTTTCCGTTTACTCTTGAACCTCTGCAATCTGACTTCATGTTGCTACCCTTTCAGGGAAGCTGTATTCAAATATACCAATGATTTTCTTCTAGCAAATCTACTGGATAGTTTCCATTCTTTATCTTTCCTGACTTTTCTGAAACATATGACAATGCCAACCACACTTCTGATCTTTTCCTCATGTCTCTGAAACTTTTCAGCCGGTCCTGTAGTTATCACTAAACATGTCCTCTAATCTCTTCCATTTGGAAGGGAAAGGTCCCGAAACCCTTGCTTCTATCTCTTCTCCCCTCTACTGCCTTGCTCTTGTTTTTTTTTATCTAAGCTTCTTGAAAGACTGGTATACTTGCTGGCTCCAATCCCTTACTTTCCGTTTACTCTTGAACCTCTGCAATCTGACTTCATGTTGCTACCCTTTCAGGGAAGCTGTATTCAAATATACCAATGATTTTCTTCTAGCAAATCTACTGGATAGTTTCCATTCTTTATCTTTCCTGACTTTTCTGAAACATATGACAATGCCAACCACACTTCTGATCTTTTCCTCATGTCTCTGAAACTTTTCAGCTGGTCCTGTAGTTTACTCTTTGAGCAACTCTCACATGATGACCATGCAAAAAAGGAGGCACTGATCACACAAAACTGTTCTTTACGTGGAGTGAGATATCATCTGAGCTCCCTTTAGTTGCAGAGATTAAAACCTGCCAACAGGGAGAGGGTCACCTATGGAAACACCCTATACCTAGTTAACTATATGACTTCATTACATTTAGAGAATATATTGTTTGAATATAGTGATTCTGCTGGCCTAAATATAAAATCTATATTACTAATGATGAAAGATAATCTTTTTTTGTGGGCCAGCAGATGGCATGGTGGTTGGGGGTGCTGGACTCCCACATGGCTGACTGTGGTTCAAGTCCTGGACCTAGAGGCTTCCTTTCTCATTTCCTCCCCCAATCAAACTGGAAAATAATAATATTAAATAAAGTTAAATGAAACTTAATTTTAAAAAAATTATAATATTTTTATTTGTAAAGCCCTCGCATGAACACCATTTTAAAAGTACATTATAGGGGCCAGCAGATGGCATAGCAGTTATGTCACTGGACTCCCATATGGACCACGGTTTGAGCCCAGGACCTAGTGGCTCTGAATTCATGCTGGGTGTGAGTTTATGTGTGCCCAAGATCCCAGGGAGAGAATGGAGGAGAAGGAATTGCAGGGCAGCCTCCCTCTTGGGGGAGGAAGGTAATTTCTCACTTTTCCTCTCAGTTTTCTGTTTCTCTCTCTCCTCTCTCAAGAGTGCACGTGCCCAAGGCAAAAACCTCTAAAAAGGGGGGAAAAGTACTTTACAGTAGTATCAAAATTTCTAATAAAAGAATCATGTGGTTATTTAATTAAAAGAAGTCATCAACAGCAATGATAAAAATTTCCTCAGACAACTGCTCTAACAACAAAAATCACTATAATGCCCAAGTTAACAAGAAACTATTAACATGAAAATAAAAGAATTCTATGCATATGTTTATATATCATATATATATAAACACACATATATACATAAATTTCAAATTTCATTGTGTATATATATATACACACACATATATGTGTGTGTATATATATGTGTGTGTGTATATATATGTATGTGTGTGTATATATGTGTGTGTATATATGTGTGTGTATGTGTGTGTGTGTGTGTGTGTGTGTGTGTATATGTGTATATATATATATATATATATAATTTTGTCAATCTCTGGTCAAAGTATAACCAATAGAATTCAAAATCTGGAAAAAGGGCTAAAGTAGAAGAAAGAAGAGGACAAAATTACAAATGTCTTAACACTATCTCATACTTCACATTCATCCTCCTTCGATGAAAGCCTACCTCTACTGGAATGGGATCCATCCCTCCACAGTTTTCATTGCATTTGTCATAGACCAATCTCAGCTTCCTGAAGAGAATTGACAGTTGGCGAAGGTGATCCTGCAGCTTTGTTAACCGGTCTTGATATGTTCCAGTATGGTAAGTGACACCATTTGGTAGCTTAGTGGGCAAATTAAAACAATAAAGACACAAAGGAATGAAAATCAACATTTTCTATAAGTAAAATTAACAAACCATTTCTAAGTTCTGCCTAAAGAAAATCTTTTTCACAATTAATCAAGTACAATTTAATAATTTAAGAATAATATACGTCTGGGGCCAGCAGATGGCATAAGGGTTATGTAGCTGAACTCCCACATGGTGGACCCTGGTTAGAAGTCCAGACCTAGAGTCTTGAAAATCATGATGGACACATGTGTGTGCGTGTCCAGGATGCTAGGAGGAGAATGGAAGAGAAGGGCTTGCAGCATGGTCACCCCCCTCTACCCTGAGGGATGATGTGTCACTTTCCTTCTCACTGTGTCTCTCTCTCTCTCTGGTGAGTGCACACACCCTAATGCAAAACTTCTTAAAAAAAAAAAAAAAGAGAATATATGTTCATTTACTAGTAACTTGGTATACTATTTCATTGCTCTAAAATAGTTCTAGGAAAAATTTTATGATAAGCCCTTCAACTAGCTAAAACACATTTTTCCCTTTAAATTTGAAATGTAACTTTTAAAAGAATGTATAATTTTAATATGACTTACAATTATATCAGGGCAGCAAGCTGCTGAGCTCAGCCAATAAGTTAAAAACAAAACACAGTTACAAAAAAAAGTGAAGATCAGGAATTTTTAGCAGAAGATAGGGAATGGTAGGATGCTGTTGCTGCAAAAAATATTCTCAAAATACTTCACGATAAGATAATTAAAATGCTTAAGGCACATATTAAAATGTAATGTTGTCACCTAAAAAGTTTTATTTAAAAAAAAAATCAAGAACAGGAGGTATATGAGTGTGTATCAATCTGTACTTGAACATCATTAACAAATTATTACAAATAATTGTGTTGATCATAATTCAGCCTTGGAAATTTATATATTTTAATTCAGGGATTTCATCAAAAGAAAGCAAAAATACACACCGAAGTGATAAAATCATAGGTACTGTCTTATAGTGAAAGGCCCAGTCCATTCTAACTAGACCTCAGTCTGCTTTTCCATTTCAAATAGATGAGGCAGAAAGGCTTAAAGGCTGGTAAAAGATGTATTACATACGTAGGCTTGAGCAGTTTATTTTGTCCTTTTCTCTCAGCTCCACATTTACAGTAATATAATGATTTACACATGGGTAGATCGATCTTCCGAAATGAGACATTATGTGAATTTTCAGTTCTCAAGCATTAGAACACTCTACTATGCCTCAAAGAAATGTGACAATATTCAAAAGGCTTCATTAGTCAAAATATATTAACTAAGGAACTCAGTGTTCATCCTCCAACACGATGTAAGATTTCTCCCGAACTTGCCATAACTAAACTTTCATAGGCACTGACAATTCAGGGAAACGTTAAAATGGATCCCTATCTTCTTCTTTGGGTAATAACAAGTAGTATAATCAATAAGGCTTACCTAGAAGCACTGTACCTTTAGTAGGGCATTAACTAGGCTTTAACACTTTGCCTATATTTTCTACTTAGTGAAGATGGAACGTAGATTTGTATCACCTAACAGTGCACCAAACAAGAGATGTTAAAGTACGGTGTGAATTATTTTACTTTAGTGAGCTATTTTTACCTATAAATGTACATTTAAAATTCATTAAGAAGTATGCATCATGTGGGACCATCTGATGGTGCAGCGTTTACATTGCCCATGGTTCAAGTCCCAGACCCAGTGGCTTGAAACTCAAACAGGCGTGTGTGCATACCCAAGATCCTGGGAAGAGAATGGAGGAGAAAGAATTGTGGCATGACCATCCCCTCGGGGAGTGATTTCCCTCTTATTGTTTCTGTCTCTGTCTTTGTCTCTCTGGTGAGCGCACATGCCCTAAGGCAAAAACATCTACAAAAAAAACATAAACTAACTTTTGCATAATCTGTCATAAAATAAAATATAATTTTTTTTAAATGCAAAGACTCACCCTTCTCATACCTGCCAATTTATTAAGTTTGGATTTTAATTTTATACATCATGTCAATTTCTCAAAGGAGAGAACAATAATTTATCCAAAAAAATAAATCACTGCATACCTTTATGTGTCAGACTAGAAGCTGAGCTAGAAGCATGAACATGAGAAAGACAACCTCACATTCTACAGAATATACATGGTAACACACACACATGTATGTGTGTGTATATATATGTGTGTGTATATATATGGATACATATATATGTGTATATACACACACACATATATATACATATATACATATATACACATATATACACACACACACACCCCGGTGCTTAAGATCCTTTAGTACATACTAAGGTATAGCTTTAGATGTAAAACTATAGTTCAGATGAAAAATTCACTAAGAATCATTCCATGAATATGGATGAAAAACCATAAATATATCATCATACCACTACAAAAGGGCATTCAACTAAATTCACCATCCATTCTTAAAATAAACATAAAACTCAAAAAAATCCTCCAGGGGCCAGTTGGTGGCAGGAAGGTTGAGGCAGCTAGAACCCACATGGCTGACAGCGCAATTCAAGTCCCAGACCCAATGGCTTCAAAAACATATCAGGCACATGTGCATGTGTGCCTGAAACCCTGAGAAGGGAATGGAAAAGAAGGGACAGTGATGTAGCAATCTGCCCTGGGAGGGGTCCCGGGGTAATTCCTCACTTCCCATCTCTTCTGTCCCTCTCTGGCAAGTGCATACACCCTAGCTAAATAAAAACAGCAACAACAAAATCCCCCAATGTGACAAAATATATTATGTCAGTTAAAAAACCACCACCATTGGGACCAGCAGTTGGCATAATGGCTATGTCGCTGGACTTCCATGTAGTTGACTGCAGTTCAAGTCCCGGACCCGGTGGCTGAAACTCACGCCAGGCACGTGTGCGTGCATACCCAAGATCCCAAGAGGAGAATGGAGGAGAAGGGACTGCGGTGTGGCCATCCCCCCGGGAGGTGATTTCTCGCTTTCTGTTTTGGTCTTTCTGGCACCCTATAGCAAAAATCTCTCAAAAAAGAAAAAAAAATCAGCACTGTGATTGTGAAAAACATTAGAAACATTGCTACTACGGCCAGAAAAAGACAAGAATGACTACTTAGAAGAATAATATTACTAGAGAACACTTGTGTAGGCATTGGCCAATGCAATTAGAGAAGAAAAAGAGAGGAAAAAGGAGTAATACATACAAAAAGAAGTGGTATAATCATCACTGTTTACCAATGATAAGTTAAAGGATACTAAAAATAAAAGAACTTAATGAGGGTCCAGCACATGGTGTAATGGTTACATTGCTGGACTCCCACATAGTCGACCACAGTTTGAGTCCTGGACCTGGTGGCATAAAACTGATGCTGGATGTGTGTGCATGCATGCCCAAAATCCTGAGATAAGAATGGAGACGGGATTGCAGGATGGTCATGCTTGGGGTTGGGGGGGGGTGATTTTTTGCTTTGTGTTTGTTTCTCTCTGTCTTTCTGGCAAGTGCTCATATGCTATAGCAAAAAGCTCTCTAAAAAAAAAGGAATTCAATGAGGAAGTGGGAAATAAATTAACACAGAGAAAGCAATAGCTTTGCTTTTATCTATAAAAATAAATGTAAAGAAAGTGGGAAAGAAAGAAGGCCCATTTATAATAGAAAGTTAAAAAAAATCAAATATGTAGAAAAAACTTTAAAAATCTCAAGATAGACATGAAAACTTAAAATACTTGGTAGGAAATTTAAAAAAGGATATTCCAAGTTCTTGGTTAGTAACACTCAATATCGTAATGATGCCAGATCTTTTTAGGTTGCATAAACCTAATAAACACACCAGTGGGGTTTTTCTTAGAATAACTGACTGTAAAGTACAGGTGGAAAAATAAGCAAGACTAGCCAGCACAATTCTGAAAAACAGGTGTAAATGCACCATAGAGTCTCTAAGAATATAAGAAAATTTGGCATTAATGCATTAAAGATAGGCAGCAGCTATGTGGAATGGAATAGAATATCCAGAAATAGATTAATCTGTATAAAGTAGCATCTGAAATCAATGGGGGAAAGACAATGAATTATTCAACCTTCTGGAAAAAGTAAGGCTAAGGTCATTCTTCACACTTTATAATAAGGTAAATTCCATAAGGATCAATGTTTTAAATATAAAAATTGAAATTAAAACCACAAATATAGAATTCTTTCTGATTTTGTGGTAGGCAAGACTTCCTAACTAGACATAAAAACTCGAAGCCCTATAAGATTGATAAATTCACCTACTGACAAAAACACAAGTACCATAAGCAGAGCCAAAAAATCAGGAATAGACTGGGGAAAAACACTTCTGATGGGGCCTCAGCACTGTGGATATTATGTTACTGTTGTGCAACTGCAGCTGGCCTCACGGTTCTGGGATTTAGGGTTATCTGGGGAGGTATCCTTTAACCTCTTGAAATTTTGTTCAAAATATATTTGGTTATGTGTATTTTTCTCAGAAGAGGATCTATAGTTTCTACCAGTGTCTCCAGTAGCTAAAGAACACCTATAATACAAAAGGAAAAGCCACTTTTTTTTTAAACAAATACTTAGAGATCATCTTAGCCAGTTTGTATTTATGGCACTCTACCCTTGGGGATTAATAACACAGAAGGTTATTTTTAAAATATGAATACTTTAAAAATGTATTAATAAATAAGTAGGTTTAGGTCATTAAAACATCCTGTTCATAAAACCTCTTCTTCGAGTTTTTTTGGAAATGAAGAAGTGCATTATCACCTCTTCAATGATGATAGGCCCCAAAGGGTCTTAGATGAGTCAAACCACAGAATTCATAAAATTACAGGCACACAAATAACTATCATAGTCTCTCTTACACACTGGCTCTGAATATAGGTCCGCAGAGACTTTAGTTCTCTTTAGGTAAGGAACCTGTGACCTGTGTTATTTCATTCTCTTCCATTCTGTTTTTTTTTTTTTTTTTTAACGCCAAAGGGTCTCTTCCATTCTGTTTTTTTTTCTTAACGCCAGAGGGTGCATATATGCAAGAGAGAGAGAGAGAGACAGAGACAGGGAGAGAGGAAAAGAGAACCTCCCAACAGGAGGCATGAGATCGTAGGCAGGTGTGTGTGCCTCTGGTATGTTTTTTAAGCCTATGAGGCCAAGACTCAAATCCTGGTCACCCACATGGATCCAGCTTCTTCTGCATAGACAACTGTGCTATGTGGCTAGCTGGTGAGTCATTTTTATTAATAATAAGATACACCATTTGATAGCAAGTTAATACTATAAAGAGGTTAATAGGAAGAGCTACTAGTCATATGTGATGCTGGGTAGTTTACTGATTCTCTCTTTAAGCCTGTTTCCTTAACTGTAAAATAGGAATGAAATACTTCTTAAAACTGCTCCTAAAACAGCGTACTTGACCAAGGAAAGTACTTGGTTAATTAGGGCTTTATTAGCCCTAATTTGGTGCTTTCCTACGTTATAAAAATAAACATATGCTAAATTCTAAGTCATCACTTAATCTACACCTTAATCATTTTAAATATGAATCCATTCATTTTAAAAATAAATGCCAAATGTTCTCAGATTCTACTTTGTATTCCTTTTGTATTATATTTTATACCAGCTTATGATACAGCCTCACACATTTCCACAAAACTGAACGACTCTTATAATCAGGAGAAAAAAAAATTGAAACACTTAAAAAGAAAAACACAAACACTCTTGGGGTGCCCATAGAGATAAGAGTTTAGGGGCCGGCAGGTGATGTGGTGGGTAAGGGTGCTGGACTCCCACATGGTTGACCATGGTTTGAGTACCAGACCTGGTGGCTTGCTTTTTCTCTTTCTCTCTTTCTCTTTCTTGCTCTCTCACTCTGTCCGGCCTTGGTCAAATTAAAATAAATAAATAAAAAGTTAAATAAAATAATTCTTAAAAAAGAAAAAGAAAGAGAGAAAGAAGAGTTGTAAGAGTCTGGAGACCTGGTTTTGGGACCAGCAGATGGTGTAATGGTTACATTACTGGACTCCCTATTGACTGGATAGTGGTCTGAGTCCCAGATCTGGCGGCTTGAAACTCATGCCGGGAGCATGTCCGTGCGTGCCCAAAGTCCTGAGAAAAGAATAGAGAAGGGATTGCAGCATGGCAGTCCCCCTGGGGAGTGATTTCTCATTTTCTCTGTCTCTACAGTGAGTACACACACCCTACAGCAAAAATCTCTCTTAAAAAAAAAAAGTCTGAAGACCTGGTTTTAAATGCACCCTACCATTGACTAGCTTGGGGCGAGCCACTTCACCTCTCTGGATCATAAAATTCTCATCCGTAAAAAAACAATAACATTCACACCATGTAGAAGTAAAACAAGTAAGTATTAAAAATAGATTAGTAGGACCAGGATTCCACATGGCCAACCAAACTGTTTGAATCTTAGCCCCAGCAGCTTCAAAAGCACGCTGGGCATGTGTGTGTGTGTGTGTGTGTGTGTGTCCAAAATCCTGACAGAATGGAGAAATGGAGGAAAGGAATTATGGTGTGACTATGCCCATTGGGGGAGATGCTTTCTCCTTCTCACCCCTCTATCTCTCTCCGGAGAATGCACACATCTTCTGGGAAATAAGAAAAAAAAAAATGGGTTAACAAAAAGATGCTGGAACAACTGGATATCCAAATACAAAACAATGAGCTTGGAAAATTATCTATCACTACACAAATATCCCCCCCACACACACACACACACTATCTTGATTCAGATAATAGACCTCAATGTAAAACCTAAAATTATGAAATTTCAAGATGAAAATATATGAGAAAATACTTTGTCAGCTTTGGTTAGACAAAGATTTCTTAGGTCTGATACCAAAACCAAAAATTATAAAAGAATAAATCAATGTGAACTGAATGAATGGCATCAAAATTAAAAATGTCAGTTCTTGAAAAGATAATGTAAAGAGAACGAAAATACAAGTCACAGACTGGGAGACATATTTGCAAAGCAAAAAGATATACCATAACAAGTGAGGTGAAGATAAGCAGCTAGGACCCTCAAACACTGCTGTAGAGAACGTGAAATGGTTCAGCCACTTTGGAAAAGTTTCTTAAAATGTTAAACCAATGGATATACCATATGACCTAACAATTTCATTGCTGCACATGTACCTATTCTAGAGAAATGAAACACAAGTTCATACAAAAATCTGTAAACATTCACAGAAACATCATTTACCCTGGCCAAGAAGTAGAAACAACTCAAATGTCCACCAACAGATGAACACATGCACAAATTGTGGTATTTCACACAACAGCACACTACTTTGCAATAATTTTTATTGCATACGTTCCCTATCTTGATTGTGATGATGGCATCACAAATATATTCATACGCATGCCAACAATGTAAATGTGCGTGGTTTATTGTTTATTAATGATACCACAAAAGGGGGACGACTTAAACAAAATGGCTAGCAAAATGTAAATTCTTAACTCCTGAATGGCCCAGAATAAATAGTGCTGGGATAAAAACCTAAAGTAATCAAAAGAGGGACAAGGAGTGCGACCCGCCGGTGCAAGAGTTTACATAGTTTTCAGAAAACTCGGTCGTACCTAGAAATCGAGGCTTCGATCTCTTCCATCTTGCAGTTTGGGGCAAACATGTCCTTGGGAGGAGGCACTGTGCAGGGCTGGGGGGCAACGTGGAGGGTCCGGGTGCGATCCCACACTCGAGGTTGGCACAGGGTCGCCCCACTGCAGCCCAGCGCGCTGGGCTTTCCCTCCCAGAGCGCGCACCTGCTCCCCGCACGCCCACCTGCCCACCTGCCCACCTGCATGTTCCTCAGGAGCTGGAAGATCTCCATGGTGCGGTACACGATGTCCTGGACCGTCTCTTGCCCGATGCGGCAGAGCGACGCCGTATTCACCTCTCGAGCGGCCTGCTGAGCTTGGGGCCCGGCAAAGGGCCCGGGCGCCATCCCCGACGCCGCCAGCGGAGGGGTGGACATGGCGCGGCTGCGGCGTCAGGGCGGCAGGGGCCAGAGAACAGACGTCAGAGGGCCCTCCAAGAACCGGGCTGCGGCCGGACCTCACCGTGGCCGACCCTAAAGCGCGCGGGAGCACAGATTTCAAAACACCAGGCGCGACTTCCGCCCTCCGTGACGTTCTACGTCATCTAACGTCACGGACACGGCCCACTCGACGAGCTCCTGGGAACCTGTCTCCCCGCGAAGCCGGCTGGGATTGGACCGGATGATCGAGGTGGGCGGGACAGACAGGTTGAGTTAGCCAGTCACCAGCTGCGCTCTGGCCAGAGGGTAGGCGTTCCCGGAGTTTGTTTCCCAGCGCGTTAGCCGCGGGTAGAATTCAGCATTGAACGCTCCTTTCATGGTAGGTTCGGTCGTGAGCGTTTTCTTTTAGCAAGCCAGAGGGTTTTGTAATATTCTCATCCAGAGGCAGGCTCAGAGGGGGTGAAGTACTTGTTCAGTCGCTACGTGCACGCGAACTTAGAAAACGAGGTTATTAATCTTACAGTCCTCACTATGACGCGAAGTAACGTTTTACTCCAGGAACTTTCTTGGTCAACTTAAGTAAAAAATTAACATCTCTCTCTGTATGTCTCTTTTCTGCTTCTGGCAGTTAATACTGTTTTACCTTTTGCATAATTTTTAGTTTGTTTATTTTCTGAACTCCCCCCTCATTCTTTATAATGCAAAGCGCTTAAAAACAGACTTCTCTTCTTTATTTCACTTCACTATATTATCAGCACTGAACGATTGGCAATTAAAAGTCTCATCAAATAACTGAATAATATTGGATCACACTAAGGGCAAGAAAAATAAAACTATTCTTTCACCTTCCTCTTATTGCTCATTTCCAGAAAAGAGTCAAGAATGTGAACATTGGGGAAGAGCACGAGTTTTGCATTTTTGAAATGTACCAGAACACTGCATCACTACTGACTTTCCAAGAAATTATTACTTAAAAAATAGCATAGAAACCACTGAAGAGACTTTTAAATGGTAATTTGTTGCTATTTTGGGGGTGATTACCATCTGACAAATACTTGCAGAGCACCTATTATGTGCTAGGTGTTAGAAATGAAGATAGAATCAGGCAAAAAACCCGGTTCAAAGAGACAGGCAGAATATGAACTATTGGGATCAATGTCTGGAAGCAAGAGTTCACCGTGTTATCAGCGTGCAAACACAAAATTTAGGAGACTGGAAACAAACAGAAAGGAATAAACGGACCTGAAGATTGGAGGAGGGTGCTAAACACCAGAGCCTTGTCTTAGAGGAAAGCAGGTGACAAGGAAGACCAGTGGGAACACTTAGAGTGAGACCATCTATTGCTTTCCAGTATTTGAAGGAAGCTTAATGTGAGGATAAATGTTAAGAAATAGGGCTGAAGATTGAGATAAACCATGTCCAGCTCTTTAGACGTTACTCTGCATGCAATAAACTATTGAACAGTTTCCAGGAAAGCAGAATAATGACCTGAAATATTCCATTTTGAAGATTTATTCTGGCTGCTAAATGAAGAATGATTGGTGGGTGTGTACTCGACCCTATTGTACCCCTCTTCCTTCCCAAAGAGGGGGAATAATGATAACTATAATTTGTATTAGAGAAATAGTGCTTTGGGGGGAAACTTTTGATAAATATGTAGTAAGTAAGTACGATCTCGAGAACTTCATGTTGCCTGAGTCAGGAGCATGAAAGAGGGAAGAATCAAGGATGGCACATATTTCTGCCTTGGACAAACAGAGGAAGTTTAGCTTATTCTGTAGGTCAGAAGTCTGGCATGGGTCTTACCAAGTCAGCATTAGGGTGTTGGGAAGGATGCTGCTTTCTGGAGATGCTGGAGGAAAATCTGTTCTCTGCTCATTCACATCATTGGCAGCATTCAGTTCTTTGTGTTTTGAGGACTCACATCCTCATATTCTTAACAGTTGTAAACTGAGGGCCATTCCTAGTTTCTGTAAGATCTCACACTCCTTGGCTCATGGCCCTTTTCTCTGTCTTGCAGCCCTTTCCTCCGTCTTCAAAGTCTTCCACTGTGGTTGAGTCTCTCTCATGCTTTCAGTATCTCTTGCTTCTTCTCTTATCATTGTCACATATCTCTGACCTTTCCACTTTGATGATCCACGTGATTATGTTGGACTCATCTACCTTATCCTATATAATCTCTCCCCATCTGAAGGTCCTTAGCCTTAATCACATCTGTAAAACCCATTTTTTTCTAAGTGGTGAAACATATTTACAGTTTTCAGAGATCAGTGGGTTCCCATCTTTGTGGGAACATTATCCTATCTACCACTTAACCCTCTCCATCTCTCTATATCCATTTGCCCTGCCTTTTCTTTTTTCTTTATAATGTTTATCAAAAACCGATGCCATTTGATTTACTATTTCTCTAACTAAACAGTGAATTCCATGAAGTCAAGGGTTGTCTTTTTCGGTTACTTGAGTAGATTCAGCACCTAAAGCAGTGCCTGGCACGTGGTAAGTGCTCAGTAAATAACTGGTGAAAGAACCATGACTTTATTCTGGAGCACCTTAAATTTGAAATGTTCTCAAGATAACCAAGCAGACATATCCCGTAAGAAATAGAGTTTAAGCATAGAACCTAGTGGAATTATTTTAGGGGGAGGCTAAAGGGGAGTAGGTGTAGTGGTAAGCTCAAAAACTGTGGAGTCGGGCATCTTGGTCTGAAATTCAGACCTGCTAACTGTTGCCAGCTGAAACTCAGCATAGGGATTCTTGTTTATTGAGCATGGGGAGTGGCCGAGAGCTAACAAGTCCACAACTCCCAGAACAAAAATAGCTAGCATGTTATTTACAGTTACACTGTATGTTTATCCATTTTTATCTTTAGCATAAATTTAGCAAGTTCAGTGTTACTCTTAGCCTCGTGATTTCCCCAAAGTTATTTTGTGCACATGATGTTTATGCCCTTGTTTTTGTTCTTATGGTTGCATAGAATCTGTTAACTCAGAATTGTATCATACATTGATAGATTAAGGGAAGCTACAATATATTTTCTTTAAACTACATTGTTTAACAAAACAATCTAACCTTCTATGAGTAACTATTATGGTAAATAATAACATTGTTATAATTTTCAGTTTGACCTGATACATTGTGTCCTTTGAGTAAATAAACATTCCTCACTTTTAAGATTTCTTGTCTGGAACCAGGTCCGATTGCATTTTTGTAACCATTGTCTAAAGCAAGTAGCTTAAGTTTTCTCTTCTATCAAACAGACTTATTTATGATCTTGCTTGTTACAATAGTTGTAGATTACATTAGTTAAAAAAGCTAGAAGCACCAGTTAACCCTTAAAGTATAAGAAAGAGAAATAGGGGCCAGCAGTTAGCGTAATGGCTCTGTCGCTGGACTCCCCATGTAGTTGACCGCGGTTCGTGTCCCGGACTTGGTGGCTTAAAACTCACGCCTGGCACGTGTGCGTGCATGCCCAAGATCCCGAGAGGAGAATAGAGGAGAAGGGATTGTGGCGTGGCCATCCCCCCCGGGGGATGATTTCTCGCTTTCTGTCTCTTTCTGTCTCTCTGTCTCTCTCTGTCTGTCTGGCGAGTGCACGCGCCCTATCGCAAAAACCAAAAAAAAAAGAAAGAAAAAGAAAAACGAAAGAGAAATAAAGTAAAAAAAAAAGTTTCCATTGGGGCCAGCAGGTGGCGTGGTGGTTAAAGGCACTGGACTACCACATGGTCAACCATGATTAAAGTTCCAGACCTGGTGGCTTGCTCTCTCCTTCTGTCTCACTCTGGTCAAACTGAAAAATAATAATAAATGAACAATTTTTAAAAATAAATTGTTTGAATTTTCCTATTATAGTACTGCCCAGCATGGGTGAATCACATGAACCTCTGTGTAAAACTTAAGAATAGCAATGGCACCTACCTTTGAGATAATTGATAGGATTCAGCAAGATGCTGTGTATAAAGTGCTTGCAGTTCCTACCACATAATAAATATTCATTGAACATGTACTGTACCTCCTTTCACCATCTATAACAGTGGGACGAATGGGTAAACTGATGAGTGAGGGAGAAGTTTATTGCAGGACAGAGCCAATAGGAATACTAAGTGATCAAAAGAGGAAAAGGAGACAATAACAACAAAAATTGAGATGAGGGAGAAGTCAGGAAAATCGATGTGGTATCATGCTGAAAAAGTCATAGGAAGGATATATTAGTTCAGAAACTCTTAGATACTTCTAAAAGTTTAAGCAAAGTAATCCACGCAAAGGAGACATTATCTTAATTTATAGAAAAAAAAAGCAGAAAATTCTTCCCTTAAGTCCCATTGGTTATGAGGACCATAATTTCTCTCGAGTGTCTGCTCTGCCTTCTTCCTTAGCAAGAGAATACCTGTTTTTTAGCAGGACATCTAGCATGGAGGCTGTGTGTCCCAGCATTCCTTGCACCTTGACAAGGACACGTCATTCAATTCTGGCCAATGGGCTATTAGTATGAGTGATGTGTAAGATTATTGGCAGTTGTTCTTGAGAGAAGAAGGCCTCCAGCTCCTTCTTCCTACTAACTGGGATGTAGGAATTATGGCTGTGGTTCACCTAAGTGCTGATTTGGGGGTTTTCTGTTACATGCAGCCAGCTCTCATACCGACTGCTGAAGTGGTAAATTTCGATGTGCTCTAAGTGCACATGGTTTTGTCTGATCCCAGTGTAGTTTCTCCTTGCACAGTGATTCACCACCTCTGCTTCAGATGACCCAAATGGCAGACTGGAATCTCTCTTGCCCTAGTTCACTCACCATAGCAGTGCCCCTGGCTCTTATGTTGCAGAATTGGAACTGGCTTTGTGTGTATTGTCATGGAAAGTGCTGGTCTTCACATTTTCCAGCACTGGGGAGACAAGGGAACAATTCTGGAGTCTGGACACTGTGGTGGTTGAATCAAAAGACTACAGGCCACAGTCAGGCTGAACCTGACAGTCGCTATTTGAGAATCCACTGAGTGGAAAGCAGCAGGCTTCTCCAGTAGAAAAGAGAAAGATATAGAACAGAGAAAAATCTCACGGGCCATAATGCAAGGAAGACACTCCACATGTCAGCATGGTGGGTTCCAGCTTTGCTTTGTCATTAGTCTGGTGGTTCTGGATTGCTTATAACCTAGGTGTTTCACTCAAAACCTCTTGCAGTGTTCATTTTATTACACATACCATGGGAAAGCTTCAAAATACGATCGGGTCCATTTGGAAATCTCGCTGCATCGGAGCTAGCAAAGGAAAGGGAGATTATTGAGCCAACACTGCCGTGACCATGGCCCTCCATCACTGCTGTGACTGTGGCCCTCCAGTGGTATTGTCGAAATGCGTGTGTTTGTGCACAATTTGTTCGTGATGAATAGCCTATATTTTTCAATTCCGCCACTCATGGTCACGAATATTCCCTCTGGACGGAGAATTATTGAATTTAAACAAACACTTATTGGGCACCTATAATTGGTCAAACTAACAAGCATTTAGGTTGATTTAGACTGTTGCCAAGACCTAATTAGCATTCCAATTGAACACACTGTGCTAACTGGTCCCTGAAGGTTCATTAGTAAAGGTTTCCTTTGCTTCACAAATGCTCACTGAGAATCCTATACTTAAGAAATACATTAATTAAATCACAACTTTATATCCGAGAATAGTACCTTCTCCAGGTTTAGAGAAATGCAAGGCTTGGCCAACTGTTTGGGGTGACGTCAGTGCCTAATATGTACTTTCTGTAAGGGTCAGTTACTACCAGTCAAAGTCCAGTGTTCAGAAACACTTAGAATCCAAGGGGTATTGGACACACCATTTTGATGACATGAGGCGTTAATTAAATTAATATGGTTTGGGATGAAAGGCACACTCAATCTGGACTTGTCTTCGATTTGTGGTGGATGTCTCCCACCTGCATGTCCCAGAACATGCTGGGTGCTCCCGTGCTGCGCTAGAAGTCAGTATTCCATGCCCCCTTTTATAGTCTGCGAGTCATCAAACACACAAGGAAAAAATGTTAGTGCCTTTCTGATTGTTCATGTTTCCAAGTGAGTAGGAAGTAAGGTGGAGTAAAACAAGTAATTCACCGGCTAGAGTTTCCAGTGCTGTGCGTTAACATGTCTTAAAGTTTTCTGTTTTTATACTTTTTTATAGCATAAAGAATGCAAATATCAGGACCAGCAGATGGCATAATGGTTACCTCACTGGACTCTCGCATAGTTGACAGTGGTTAGAGTACCAGACCCAGTGGCTTAAAACTCACACTGGGTGTGTGTGCGTGCATGCCCAAGATCCCAAGAGGAGGATTGAGGAGAAGGGATTGCGGCGTGACCATCCTCTGCAGGAGATGATTCCTCACTTTCTGGCTCTTGGTGTCTCTGGCAAGCACCCGTGCCCTATCACAAACATCGCTCTCTCTCAAAAAAATAAATAAATAAAAATACAAATGCCTTCTGTATTATTGTTAAGGGTTTAAAGAGTAACCTTTAGATTTTGTAATGCATAAATATGATTAGATTCTTGTGCAAAAAATAACGCTATGTTGCCCACACTCTGCTTTCGGCAAACCATACAGGATATACTGTTTCATTATAAAGTGGATGACACCTGGAAAAAAGGAGAGTAGACTCAGAATTTAAAAAAAAAAAATGTGATTGCTTTAGGTAAAATTGTTTTATGATTTTGGTGAGATAGAGTGATGACATTAAGTGAAAAATACCTGTATTAATTATAAAATACTTTCACACATTCTGTGGAGTAAGAAAGGTACAATAATTCAATAAATTTCTCTTAGGGGAACTTCATGTAGAGGCTGAATTTTGAACAGACTTTTGAAAGAAGAATAGCAGATAATGGTGAGAAAGAGGAAGAAGTATCTTGTCTACCAGAACTGGTTGAAACAGGCAAACCAGAACTGAGGAATCACCCGATGGTCATGGCAGAGATAACATTGGGGGTAAGTAGTTACTCATGTAGCAAATTTCCCAAAAGGACCGATTGCGACAAACAGGTCATTCCTTTAAATCATTCCATCTCAAGGTCAGAGAGGAGACTGTTTGTTTCCTTTCTCTAAGGCTGTTTCTCTAAACAGTGTGCATTCCCTTCCTTCAGCCTTATCCCTACCCAGCCTAGGGCTGGCAATCAATTTATGAAGGCAAACCTAGACTATGGCTCAGCAGAAAAACACTATGCTCTGCTAGGCAGACCAACATGGAAAGGTTACTCGTTCAAGTCTGGAGACCTCCTTAAGGCACACATATGCTCATGTTCTAGGGCTGGCTGAAGCTGAAGGTAGATTATGACATCAAGACCCCATTGGGGATTCTCTCACTCTCTCATGGAAGAAATAAATAAATATAAAACTATAGGGGCCAGCAGATGTAATGGTTACATCACTGGACTCCCACATAGTCCACTGTGGTTCGAGTCCTGGACCTGGTTGCTTAAAAATCAAGCCAGGCTTGTGTTCATGTGTGCCCAAACTCCCAAGAGGAGAGTGGAGGAGAAAGGATTGCGGCATAGCCAGCCCCCTTGGGAGTGATTATTGCTTTCTGTCTCTCTGTCTCTCCAGTGAGCACATACATCCTATAGCAAAAATCTCCCTTAAAAAATTAAAAAATAAAAAATAAATAAAATTTAAAATAAACCATGATTCATAATCCAGTTTAATCCATAAGGCTGATATTCTACCTTCATCCTTTTGACTTCTATATCCATTTCTCATCACATTTGATTTAAGAGGTTAAGAGTAAAGCAATATTATAACATTTAAATCTCTATTGGTGGTTTGATTGAAAAATACAATCAGAAGAGAAGCTACTTCTTTTCCTGAAATTTTTCATCATGTCAGTCTGCTTATTTCTATCATCAGAGTTCAATGAATGCCATAAAAAGTCTTGAGTTTTTCTAATATTGAAGGCCTTTCATTATTCACTTCCCTTTGCTAGAGCAACCTTATTCCTCACAGCAGGTCATTCATACTTACCATCCTCACTTCCCACTGAGGTGTCCATCCTAATTAGCCACTTCTCTACCGTATGGTGTATGACTCCTGGTTACAGCTGATTGGATTAGGGATGGGCATGTGTTCCAAGGGCAACCCGTTTATAGGCCAGCCAATAATGTTCAACATGGCCTGGTACAAAGAGCTCTGGGGATAAGGATAATAAACCTAGCCAATTGGATTGTAGTCCTCAATTATGGGGAAACAGAGAGTGAAAGGGGCAAAGGGAAATAAAGAGAAATGAGTCCAAACAGAAGCAGAGAGCAATAGAGAGGCTGGTGGTTTCAGGAGGCATAGTGTTAGGGCGTTAGAAGGACCACATAGTCTAGTGCACCATTTGCTTCAATTTGTTCGACCTCAGAGGCCATGCTTTTCCACTGTCTGGTCACAACATTGCACTTAAACCTTGGAAGCCTGAACATGCCCCAGGAGAGGTGTATATTCTGGCCCTGTCCTACCTTTTCTTGACTCTTGCATCTCTTCTACCCATGCACGATGAATTGTCACATTATCCTTGAAGCTTTCCAAAGGTACCAGCCTCTTTGAGGTTTTCATGCAGGTTATTCTCTCTGCATGGATTGCTCGACCATATCCCAGTTGCTCTCAACCCTTCTTTGTTTTTGGTTCCCTTTCTCTCTTTTAAGTCCCAAGTAAAATGTTACTCGCTTGAACCCACCCAACTGAAACATTATAGCGGTCTTACTCTATTGCTCCATATTCCATTTCTTCACATCACTAATTATATTTTGCAATTATATTTTTATTTGCATGCTTCCTTGATGACTGCTTCTTCCATTGGGCTGCGAGCAACATGTGGGGTTAGGATTATGTGTATTTTATCCATTGCTGTGTTAACAACTGGCTTAGGGCCTCAGCCATCATAGCTTCATAATATTCATTGAAAGAAGGCCAGTCAGTGGTGGGTGCTTGAGTCCTCTGGCAATTAAAAATTATATTCATTGAATGAATGAATGAATAAGTAAATTATAATGAATTCTCTCACTTTGTTATGGTCTAATAGGCAAGAAATAAGAGGACATCCAGAGGTAGCCAAATTATAAGAGTTCTTTATTAATAGGCTGTCCAACTGCAAGAGGACTCATGTCTCTCAAAACCCCTGCAGCCCTGAATGAAAGCAGAGGGGTGCTTGTGCAGGCAAAAATCACCGTCAATTCTGGGTTGACATGGTGATTACGGTGGAAACTGAGGAGGAGGTGAAGAGGAAAGGGGATCGGGTTCCCATGTGAAAGCAGTTACAGAAGCTGGATCAAACAGGTTAATTATTTCTATGGGCACTCTCCAGACCCTTGTTTAATGGTCCTCATGGCTCTGGGCAGAGGTCTGGTGATTGGTGGTTACATTGCTAAGGAACACCTAAACAAAAAGATTTTGAGCTAGCTAGCAAAGACAGTAAGACTATGAATCACTCTATTTACTCTGGGCAAAAGGAGGAAGCAAGGATAATGTAAAGTTCAAAGATGGAGGTGCTTCTGCTTTGAATTCTCATTCCTCTCTACATTTCTCTAGTTTTAGATGCAAGGTCCTTCATTCATTTGTCTATTTCTTTTTCTTTTAAAGAATTATTTATTTAACTTTATTCATTCATTCATTCATTCATTTTTAATTTGACCAGACATACACACACACACACACACACACACACACACATACACACACAGAGAGAAGGTGAGAAAGCAAGCCACCACGTCTGGGACTCGAATTGTGACTGGAACTGTGGTTGGCCATGTGGGAGTGTCCAGCGCTTTAACAAACACCATGCCACCCACTGTCCCTCATTTGTCTATTTCAATATCACCTTCTCCGGTCTTTAAATCTGTGGTTTACCCACAAGGAGGACAACTTGCCACTTACTACAGTACCACCTATTATTCCTTAATTGTCTTATGTGTGCTAGATTAATTTTTACATTGATGAGGGCAGGGATAGTGACCCTGGCCACGTATACCCTCCTCCTTCAAAATGCCTTACATAGTGCTAAACCTGTCATGAAAAGTTAATAAATCCTTGCTGACTTAAAGCAAGTCTCTCTCAGTCTCTTTCAGTGATTGAGCCAAAAGATTGAGGTTCATGGTGTCATGAAGTCCTAAGGACTTACTTTTGCATCTCACACATTAGGAAAAATGTCTTCTGAGGAGGGAAATGTGGGTTCTATCATTGTTTTCCTGATGTCAGAGAATGAAAGGTTTACAGATGCAGAGCTGTGGAGTAAGCACTGGGGAAGTTTTAGGGTCCATTTTCAAAAATGGTTATAATGTGCTTTTCAATTAAAGCTTAGCCAGACAGGTAGGATCTGCCTCATGCTTTGCATACTAATACTTAGATTCACTGGTTATCTTTGCATGAACAAAGGCATAAATGGTGTATGTTTAATGTTTTAAAATGTCTGCTAAACTGCTTTCTAAAGTGGAGGCACACATTTTACCCATCATTAAATTGGACACATCACCCTCAACAGTTGATATCTCCATTTCTTTTTTATTTTAGCTATTCTTCAATTAAAAAAAAAAAACTTAATGCGTATGAGAGGGTTTGTCAGGTGGCATGGGGCTTTGGGCACTGGACTTCCACATGACTGAACATGGTTCAAGTCTTGGACCTGGTGGTTTGCTTTCTCTCTCTTTCGCTACCTCTTTCTGTTAAGCATATGTGCCCTTCTGAAAATTGGAAAGTAATAGTAATATCAAATAAAATTAAATAATTATTTTTAAGAATGCAGATGAGGGGCCAGCAGGTGGCGTAGTGGTTAAGGGTGCTGGGCTCCCATGTGGCTGACAGCAGTTCAAGTCCTAGACATGATGGCTTGCTTTCTCTCTTTTCCTCTCTTTCTTTCTCTCTCTCTCTTTCTCTCTCTCTCTCTCTGCCCCTCTCTGGTCAAATTAAAGAAAATAAATAAATAAATATTTTAAAAATGTGCATATAAGAGAAAGTCCAGGAGAGAGAAAGAGAGGGAGATTATTATTCTTATTTAGACAGGGCCCTTGCCATGATTCTCCTGTCCTAGCTTCACCGTTAGCGATGATAAAAGAAAAAATAAACCAGCCAGTTTAATAGATTAGAGTTTTATCTGAGAAAGTCTTAACACAATTTAAATCAGGCAGTTGTCCCAAGACTTCCAAACAACTCTGGCTAGCCTCATGGTCAACTTGGTATTTAAGTTCCAGAAAATGGAAAATGAAGTACAAAAACGAAAGTGAGAGAATGAGGTAGAGAAACAACTGGACTGGTTACAGGTGAACAGTAGGCTGCACAAGCAGTCTAGAAGGTGGACTTTCTGTGATTGACGTCTGGCTAGGGTGACTGGCTGTAATTCAGCTCAGGAAAACTACCTAAGATGTATGATTTTAGCTTATCTACAAGAATTCAAGTGTGGCAGTAGAGTGGCCATTTTAGGCCAAAATAGTTTAATTTAATAATTTCTCCTCCTTTTGGTCAGCCTCTCAGGTAGGACCAGGCACATACCACTGTGTCCAGGTGCTTCAGGCTGAGCTGGGCCAGGAACCAATCCCAGGCTTCTGTATGTGGCCTTAGCCATCATGCATTGCTGGCCTGGAACCATGCCATAATGGATAGGCTGACTTTAGCTAGTCAATTTGAGGTAGGAGACAAAGACTCTAAAAATATCGTTAGAGTATGGGCCCAAGATGGAATCATGAAAGGACTAAGTTTTGAAATGGAGGCAGTGGTGGCTCAGTGACTGACCTAGGCAGCATGACGTAGACCTAAAACAAAGACTTTTCCCAGGTTGCACCACTTTCCAGGAAGAAAATAAGATAATGTATTTCATGGCTCGAAGCTTCTACACAGAGAAACTCCTGACCTTGGTACCCACTCCAAAATTAGGAGAATAATAGGATCCACCCAGCCTCTACCCCTTCCTACCAGGAGGGGAATGCATGCACAAGACCCACCTAGAACCTAAGTGTAGACAAAGC